ATTCATACGTGCTGGCCCTCTTGATCCTGGATGCTGAATTGCTGACCAAGTCAGAGTTCTCCAGAGAACCACACTGGACTGCACCTCACCTCCCCTGGATCCTGTAACTGACCCCTTTACTTGTTGTAAGCTATCCCTTTAAATAAACCTCTTTTAACTATCAGATAAACTATGTGGAGTTGCCTTGTTAGTTCCCCACTTTAGCTGGTCTCAGAGGTCCAGTCATCCATACTGCAGGTGATCAATAACCTGGGAACAGTCATGGACTGGCTGTTCTTCAGGGTCTGGCAGGAGAGACGCTGGATTGAATACTGCAGATAGAATCGGATCCTGGGTGCATCTGAAAGGAGAGCCTGATGATGGGTAAGACATGTATTCAACATCCAGTGCTCAGAGGCTCCCTGAAGGAGCATTTCATTGGAGTGGGGAGTGGTGACAACCAGCTCCTGTCCCACGGCTAGTTTATCAGTTTCCATTAACAACAGTGTGGTACCAGCATGGCCCAGGTGCAAGATAGCCATCCTGCTGCATCAGGGTCTAGGCATTTAGACAAATAGGCCACAGGCCTTCTCCAGTGTCCCAAAGTTTGAACAGTATGCCTTTCACCACCTTGTGTTGCTCATCCACAAACAACTGGAAAGGTTTAGTAATGTTAGGTAGCCTGAGTACTGGGGCTGACATCAAGTCCTCCTTGACCTTTGGGAATGTGTTCTTTTCTTTGCCCTTCCAGCTTAAGGAAGCATTTCCTCCTAGGCTCTGGTAGACTGGTTTTCTATTTCTGCAAAATTAGATACCCATAGTCTATAGTATCCAACTGTACCCAAGGATTCTCTCACCGTCCTTTTATCCTGTGGTAATATAACTTGGTATCTGCTTGAGGGAGGGCAGGGTCCTGTTGTCATCATCTAAGCAACAGCATAGATAAGTTATTTTACCTCAGATAAGGTACCTTTTCAGAAAACTAGGTCTTTTTGCAGACACTTGGTAGCTGGAGCATGTCAAGCGGATCCTTCATAGATTGCTGGCACTCCTTCAGGGTGCATGCATTGATGATGAGATCATCCACATACTTGAAGAGGGTGAGAAGCAGGTGTTCTTGGTGGTACTCTGTGGGATAACTCATCCTTAACAGGCCTGAGGGCCAGCTGGCCTAAACCAGTAATAAGATACTTTCCAAGAGCCAACCTGGGTCTACCTAAGGGTCGTAGCAACAGCAGCTGAGACATGATCTGGAAATGACCTGGACCAATAAGAGGCAGCCATGTCACACCAGCAGATGCACATTCATCAGACCTCCCCTCAGGGTGCAGGGTATATAAGGCTTGCCTCTTCCTGAATAAACTGAGCTTGTTGTTTCAACATCCTCCCAGGGTCTGTGTCATTGACTCTGTGCCTACTTGCCCCCTCCACCAAAGGGAACAGCACAGGACCTTGCCAAAGTACTCAAGCAGGTCCACCCTAAGAGCTTCATCAAACAGAGTAGATGAGTTCTTAAATCCCTGTCACAGTCTAATCCAGGTCAATTGGCCACTGGACCCTGACTGGGGGGGTCTATCTATCAAAGGTAAATATAGATTGGCTCACAGGTGCCAGAGGTGGAAAGAAAAAGGAACCCAAAGGCGCAAAGCTATGCAGAGAAACCCTGTCTCGAAAAACCAAAAAAAAAAAAAAAAAAGAAAGAAAAAAAAAGAAAAAGAAAAAAGAAAAAAGAATACTTCAGTTCTAAGACAGTGTATTCAGTTTTTCCTGGATCCAATAGGCTGAGCAAACTGTAAGAGTTTGTCACAGTACAGTGAATAATATCTACTCTCTTCTCTTAAGTCCTGAATAGGATGATAGTCTTTGGTGCCTGGCTTATTAACAGGGAGTAATGGAGTGTTCCAAGGTGAGTGGCTGGGGACCATAATTCCTGCATCTCTAAGATGGCTAACATGCTTTCCAATGCCTGCCTTAGCTTCTCCAGAAATTGAGTATTACTTTACTGTTGTAGAAAAATTATTTTAAGGTATGTTACATCTTTATGCTCTAGAACATTTGTTTAATGGTGCAAAGATGTGTTACATTCTTTTGTGTTGTTTAACTCTGTGAAGCTGTGTTACTGTGCCTGTCTAAAACACCTGAGGGTCTAATAAAGAGCTGAATGACCTGGGCGGTGGTGGCGCACACCTTTAATCCCAGCACTCGGGAGGCAGAGCCAGGCGGATCTCTGTGAGTTCGAGGCCAGCCTGGGCTACCAAGTGAATTCCAGGAAAGGTGCAAAGCTACACAGAGAAACCCTGTCTCAGAAAAAAAAAAAGAGCTGAATGGCCAATAGTGGGGCAGGAAAAAGGATAGGCAGGGATGGCAAGCAGAGAGAATAAATAAAAGGAGAAATCTGGGAGAAAAAAGAAGAAAGAGGAAAGGAGAAAGAGGGGAGGACATCAGGGGCAACCACCTAGCTACACAACAAGCAACAGAGTAAGAAAGAAAAAAGGTATACAGAAATAGAAAAAGGTAAAAGTCCAAAAGCAAAAGACAGATTGGATCATTTAAATTAAGGAAAGATAGCTAGAAATAAGCCAAGCTAAGGCCAGACATTTATAATTAAGAGTAAGCCTCCATGTGTGATTTATTCAGGAGCTAGGTGGTGGCCCCCCAAAAGAGTAAAAAACAAACAACAACACTTTTCTGTTAGAGGCAAGGCTGAGCTTGAGAGTTTAACACAATTGGTGGCCAATGTGAGACCAATCCAGGGGAGTAGTCTCAGCCCACACTCCAGGGAACTTTAGCATTAACTCTGTTAAGAGGGGGTCACCTACACCTGGTTTCTCAGTACTCTCTTCTGTTATTATATATTCTTCTGATAAGGGGCAAATCACTAGGATGGCTTGGTATGGACTCCTTAGATTCAGAGAGGCTTTATTCTCACTGAATGTAATGGTGGCAAGAAGTTTTCTCAACAAGACACTACCGATCAGGAGGTATGAACAATCTGGCATAACAAGAAAAGAATGAGCCACAGTACCTTGTAAGGGTCCACTTCCCAGGTGGTGATCCAATCATAGGTTCCAATACCTATGAACTCTTGGATGGTAGTTCTTTTATTAGTTAGAGGTCCCAGGGTGTCTTAGTTAGGGTTTCTATTGCTATGAAGAGACACCATGACCTAGGCAACTCTTATAAAAGAAAACATTTAATTGGAGTGGCTTATAATTTCAGAGGTTTAGTGCATTATCATCATGGTGGGACATGTTGTATGCAGGCAGACATGGTTCTGGAGAAGGAGCTGAGAGCTCTACATCCTGATCCACAGGCAGCAGGAAGTGAATTGTGTCACTGGGCCTAGCTTTAGCATAGAAGACTTCAAAGCCTACCTCCACACAGTGACCCACTGATATAGAAATGATGAAAAAAAAGGGTAGAGTATTGAATCTAAAAAACAACTGTTGGTCTCAAAACACTTTACATTGGCATGGATTTTGGTTTATTAATACAGGTTTAGGGAGCTGGGTGGCAGTGGCGCACACCTTTAATCCCAGCACTCAGGAGGCAGAGCCAGGCAGATCTCTGGGAGTTAGAGGTCAGCCTGGTCTATAGAGTGAGATCCAGGACAGACACCAAAACTACACGAAGAAACCTTGTCTTGAAAAAAAATACAGGTTTAGGGTTAATTTTGTTATACTATATGTTTATTTCTGCTCTTGTTTGGGGTATTATGTTTATGCAGCTCATTTGAAATTGTAATATAAAATTAAGAAATACAGATTAATAATTAGTCATCTGTAGTAGTCAAATTTATAGTCATATTAGTTTTTCTAGATATGCAAAGTTATATTACAGATAGAAAGGCAATCTTCAAACATTTCAAAGACCTACAAAATATGGCATTTAAAATGTTTTAAGAACTTAGACTTTTCTGGACAACGAGACACATCTGCTCCTGGCAGCACCATTACTTCAAAGAGGATGATGGGCATTGAAAAAAACTCGTTATGGAATTTACTTTCAATATGGCAAAGACTAGCCATTTGGGCAAGAAACTGATCTTGCCTGGAATGCTTGACAATATGTTCTATAAACTTGACATGCAGGACCCATAGGAAAGTGACCACTGAACTTTGCCAAAACAAAGCAGGATGGTCCTTCAGCTTCCTGCTTCACAGAAGAAACTGCCAGACATTCTGCAGGACACAGAAAAGTGACCGATGAACTTTGCCAAAATAGATAAGACAGTCTTCAAATTTCCTGCTTCACTAAAATAGTATGCCAGACATTCTAGGCTTACAGGCTGAAGACGAATGCCCCAAGTTTACAAAAGAACTTTGGAAGACTGTCCAGGCAGCTAGATGTCTCTCGTCATTTCTCAAATTTTGGAAATTGCTTGCAATGCACTTTCTGTTACTGAGGTAATATTATATGCTTCTGGGATCTTGGTTGGAGTTGAACACTAGATAGTTATAATTATAATTTTCCTTAGTTATGATAAAGGTAAATTAGATATAAAACTTTAGATTCACTAAGATAGATTAATGTTTTCTCTAATTTTGTCAAATACAAATAGACTAATATTATAACTATCATTCTTGCTTGATAACTATTTTATTATATGTAATTTTACTATGTTAAAGTTAAAACCTTCCTTTTTGATTAGACAGAAAAGGGGAAATGCTGTGCGTTGTCTCTCTGTACTCTGAATATGTGTTGCTCCCTTTGGTTAATAAATAAAGCTGCCCTGGCCTATGACAAGGCAGAATAGAGCCAGGTAGAAAATCCAAGCAGAGATACAGGGAGAAGAGGGCAGAGTCGGGGAGACGCCATCAAGCCACCCAAGAAACAAGATGTGAAGTACTGGTAAGCCACCGGCCACTTAGCTACGCATAGATTAATAGAAATGGGTTAATTTAAGATGCAAGAACAAGATAGTAATAAGCCTGAGCCATAGGCCAATCAGTTTGTAATTAATATTAAGCCTCTGACTAGTGATTCGGAAATAGGCAGGTGGGAGAGATTCGTCCATCTACAACACACTTCCTCCAAGAAGGCCATACTTATTCCAATAAAGCCACACTTTCCAATAGTTATACTACCTATGGGTACCATTTTCTTTCAAACCATCACACGGGGTAGGGTCAGCACTGAACGAGTTGTACCCACATCCAACAGGAACTGGAGAGTTTTGCTCCCCACTTTTCCTGTGACCATGGGCCCCTGGATCTCATTGGTATGGAGCTCTGGCTCTATCAATCTGATCCTGTAAGACTGAGGACCTGTCCTTTTTTCCTGTTTGCATTGTGGGCATTCATTTTTCCAATATCCTTCTTCTCTACAATGTACATATTGGTCCTTCTCCAACCTGGCTTGAGGCTGATTTGGTTGCCTGCAGTGCATTTGTTTTTATTGGACCCTTTTCTGAATGCAGCCACCATAATTCTAGCCAGCCTTCTGTCTTCCTTCTCATCTGGATCTTTTGTTATAAATAAATTGTCTTCTGAGTTATTTTGAACTGTAACCTATTCATTCCCTTGAGCGCTTCTAATTTCTATAACTTCCTCTGGATATCTAGGGCTGGCTGGATGACAAAAACAATATTAATACCCTACTCGTTTTCTGTGGCATCCAGATCAAGGTAGGTAAACTCTCAGTAAAGCACCCAGAGGTGCTCCAAGAACACAGCAGGGGGTTCCTGACTTCCCTGAATTACCCAGGTACCTTTGAGAGATTAGTTGCCTGTCTAGCTGCTGCTCCCATTCCTGTCAAGAGGGCCTGGCACTAGGTGCCCCCTCACCCTGACCAGTGTTAGGATCCCAGTTTGGTAGGGTTGAGGACAATATTCACTCAGCTCATTCCTCTATGTCTGCTCCAGTGACCCGAGTACCCATCACAGGCTCTGAGGCTTCAGGCTTGATTTGATCTCTCTCCTCAGGAGTAACAAGGGTACCTAGAAGCTGCTTATGGTCAGCTCAGGTGGGTTGACAGGTGAAGAAAACAGTTTCTAAAGACTGATGAGGGCCCGAGGCTTCTCAGAGAAGGAGGGTTGTGGGTCTTCCAGTTATATAGATCACTGTTGAGAAAGGAACACAAACTGAAAACAGATCTGGACCTCTGCTCCCTGCCAGCTCCTGGTGACA